AGGGTTGCCATAGTAACCGCTGACCTCCGCCGAGTTCCCGAGGCTCCTCCCACCCAAGCACCAACGCCAAGCTCATCTACGTGTGATGAGTTTAATAGATGAATACAAAGAGAGTCATTATAGGTTTGCTAGCCACGGAACCTTATCTTTCTCACTGCGCGTGGTATGGTAGAGAGATTTCATAGAGCATGCGCAAGAAGATCACTCCGAGATTGTCTACTTTGGGGAAAAAAGTAACCCAGTCGTGACGTTTGTGATTCCTTTGGCACGTTACGAGCTCCAATGAAGGCATTTCATTACGTCACTGCTAATTACTCAACTATTTACGTATTTCTATTTCAGATGCTTCAACTGCCAGAAATCTTGAACTGTTACAAAATGCAAGAGACGCTAAAAGCGAGCACTGTTTGTACGGTATTATGAACTACACAAAGACCCCTGGAGGATGTAAGTAGAAAACATGTTTTCTTTAAATTCAACTTTTGTTCTAACTGTTGTTCTAATCGTTGTAATAAACTTTAGAGAAATTTTCGAATTTGACGAAGATACGGCGGCAATCTTGCCAGGGGACAAAAGAAAACATAGATGACGCAAAATATATAGCGTTTTATTAGTTAGTTTTTCTTTTATGGGTAAAGATGATCGATGTGCCGTCTTTATTCATCTTTTGTTGTATTCTCTTGTGAAGAGCTGCCGTAATATCAACCGACGTCATTACTGTAACAAAGCTTTATTTACCCCATAATGCCTTGCGATCCAAGATGGCCGCCGCATCGTCGAAGTGGTTCATTAAGTATGTAAAGGGTACTAGTTGGTTTGGTGGCTGCCCCTTTTTTATGGTTCGCTAGCTTGCACAGTTTGTTTATCGTTTGTTTTGCGTCTTTCTTTGGTCGATCGAATGATTGGCTGTTTGTTTGTTTGTTTGTTTGGTCGTTTGTTTGTTTGTTTGGTCGTTTGTTTGTTTGTTTGGTCGTTTGTTTGGTTGGTTGGTTGGCGGGTTATGTTTTGTTTGCTGTAGTTTACTTTGCCTCATTAATTGATCGTTTGCTTTATCATTTGGTTTGCTGATTTGATGGTTTGTTGGTTGAGTGGTTAATTGATTCATTTGTTTACTAAGAGATAGATCTATCCGTTCAAGTCCTAAGTCTAAATGATATCTAAATATACCATTTGTAATTAAAAATATTTACCTGACTATCGTTACAGCTCGTCTTTTACGCTCTAACATACTACAGCCACCAAACGGTTTGTATAAGACTGAAACTAATAATTCTTCCAGAGTGTTTATTTACCGTTTTTATTTACAGTAAAGCATTAATTTAATATTAACTACTTATCTTATTCTATAGATCTGGAAACAATAAAGATGAGACTTGATTGTGTTACTGGTAATGATTTCCCATTAATTTCTTTTGGTTGTTGTTGGTTGTGTTGTTKTTGGTTGTGTTGTTGTTGGTTGTGCTGTTGTTGGTTGTGTTGTTGTTGGTTGTGTTGTTTTTGGTTGTGTTGTTGTTGGTTGTGTTGTTGTTGGTTGTGCTGTTGTTGGTTGTGTTGTTGTTGGTTGTGTTGTTGTTGGTTGTGTTGTTGTTGGTTGTGCTGTTGTTGGTTGTGTTGTTTTTGGTTGTGTTGTTGTTGGTGGTGGTGGCGGTGGTGTTATTGTTGTCGTTATTATCGTTGCAGGTGTGTCGTCATTTCTCATGCTATTGTTATTTCTATTTATCTTCATTTTCTAATAAAAGCTTTTTGAAGAACATTTTTTCAACTTTTCTTTTTCAGAATTAACTGAGAAAGAGGTAAGTCATGGCTACGTTTGACCAAAAAACAAAATCTTTTTGATATGTGGTTGTTTATGTTGGTTTTCATCTCATTTTCTTATAGGAAGTGTTTCATAACTTAAGATCAGGTAAATAACTATTGCTAGTAAGGTTTGAAAGAAACGTCAATGGCTTATATATTCGATAATCAATGTTCTGCAAACACACTATGATTGTATTTCTTTGTAATCTTTAATTATTCGTAGTGCTCGGACGTTTTCTTGATGTGGACCACCTAACATCTATGTGCGTACAAATCCCTAAGCAAGAAACAGTAAAAACTGCAGAGTCCAAAATCACTGCCATCATATCCCTTAAACATACATTAGAACTTGTGGAGCCATTATGTGAGGCCCTCAAAGAAACTGAAACACCGCTACTTAAAGCATATCATGAGGTATTTTCTTCTTCTTCTTTATTAATTAATTTATGACAACGATTATTCATATTGCATTGAAAAACTTTTCCTCAGTGTATGTGAACTATTCTGTTTTTACTTTAATATATCATCATCATCATATCGCTTATCTGTCCACCCATTAATCCGTCCACCCATTAATCCGTCCACCCATTCATCCATCCCATTTCATTTCATTCCATTCCCAATCTCATTCCCATTCCATTCAAAACATCCACCAATCCTTTTCATTCTATTCCATCAACCCATTAATCCTCTGATCCGTTCCATTCCATGGCAATCCATTCATCTATCTACCTACTCATCCAACTAAGATAACAACTATGGCACAAGTTTTGAACCATAAACTAAACTCGTATATTTTCATTGGTAGTCGCTTAATGATCCGCGATTTAAATCAGTGGCTGAAAAAATCCATGCGGTAATTCATGACGATACACGTTATCAAAAGGGAACCCTTAACATGAGGACTCAGAAGTGCTTTGCTGTAAAGGTAGAACATTATTCAGCAGTTTTAAGCCTACTGGAATCGACGTAGGCATGGTAGCATAATAATACTCTAACTCTTTCGTTTCTTCTTTTCTCTTTTGTCTTTTGTGTGGAATATTCTGTAAATTAAAGCCGCATGTAAATGGTAAGTAAACAACGGTTATACATACAGCATAGTTCCAACCTTTTATTTTTGATAACCACTGTAGTGGCGTATATTTGCTTTGCTCTATCATTTTGTTTGGTTGTATGTTCTTTTTTCCCTCGTTTTTTTTTCTTCTTGTTTTTCTCTTCTTCTGGCTTTCGTTTTCAATTTTTTTGTTTTTTGTATTGTTTCTATACAGCCTTCTAGTTTTAAGTAATTCTCGCCCTTCCATATATTACTTTTCAGGACTTCTTGATGTTGCCCGACGGACATACACTGAAACTGTTGATGACATTACAGGTATTTTGAAATGATACTTTCGTCTCCTATCCGTCCTTCTCCTTCTTCTCATCATCTTCTTTCATCATCATTATCTTCCATCAATATAAATCCTGTCTTGACTGCCAGTTGTTAGTCATATCCATCATCGTTATTTTGAATAGAAGGCCCTAAAGAGGGGTCCTAGTTTCCTTTTCGCAGCCTCCTTTTTGACCAAATCCCATCGTCCCAGCCAATGTTTTGATCAAATTTTTTGATTGTTTTTTGTTTCGTTTGTGAATCCAATTCCCAGTGCATAAAATCATATTTTTCACAGCCCAAAAAAGGCGAATCCCAGCTCCCATTATACCCCTTTAAGACCTTCTAGTGCTGCCTATCCCTTTCACCACTGAGCTATCATTTTCTTTTTGAAACCTTTTGAAAATTTCTTTTTCAGATCTTATCAAACAACTCTCAGAAAAATACGAGCTACCTCTAAAAACGGGTTTCAACGCCACCAGGGGATTTTACATCCAGCTTCAACTTAATCGTGATAATGATATAGACACGAGTACACTTCCAAGTGAGTTCATCAAAGTTGCGAAAGTTAAAAGTACAGTAACGTTTTCTTCTGTCGATCTGGTACGTACTTCATCTTCGTAAACTACGCAATCCATTGTCTTTCTATTTCAGACGGACCACATAATTCTCTTGATTATTATATCTTTGTTTACCAGGTTTACTGACAAATGCCATAAAATTTAACTGACAACTGACAAAAAGCCTGAAACTTTAACTGACAAATAAGCGAAATTTTAACTGACTACTGTCATCTGGACCCTCCCCCTTCTCATCCAGACTAGATTCTAATAGTCCCTTTTCTCATTCCGTAAATACCGCTGTGTTTTAAGATTGAAGACTCATCTCCGCAGGCTTAGCCTCGCTCAAGAGTAAATCATTTGCAAATACCAACTTTAATGTTAAGAATGTGCAGCAGCTTTAACAATACCAATGTTTTGAAATCCCACGGACTTTTAATGGTATCTGTGAATAGCTGACTTATAAACGAGGCTAAGCCTGTGCAAATGAGTCTGTAACCTTCAAAAAAAGCGGTTTGCATTGAATGTGAAACTGGTGTATTGACAAAATAGATAAATATAGATGATCGTAATGGGAAAACATTCCGCCCATGTGCATTGAGTCTGCGATAATATTATTTGTTATCAAATAGCTTATATCTATGCACTGAGGAGAAATGTTTTAGCAGTGCAGTGCGCCTTTTATCAAAACTCTTCACCCAACCGGCAAAACAATTGCTATTAATATTTTATGAGGTATTCCACTCTCAGTCACTAAGGCCCCGTCCACACGTATCCGGAAATTTTTGTATCCGCAAATTATTTTTTGCGGATACGAAAATGTTTGCGTCCACACGCAGCGTATTCGAATCGTTTTCACCGTCCACACGTATCCGTTTTCGTAAAATTTGCGGATACGGACACAAAAAGTTGCGGACACGTGTGGACGCAACCCGTATCCGTAAAAAAAAATTTGCGGATACAAAAATTTGCGGGTACGTGTGGACGGGGCCTAATAATATTTTTTTATATATTATTAATTCGTATTTTTGTGTTTTACTTGCAGATTAAATTRAATGGTAAGTGTCGATGCAGTTTAACGGTTTATGAAATATTACCTCTTTAGGCAAATTTTAAATATTTCTTTTTTCTCATAAGTTCAAGATACTTCACACGATGCCTACTTACTAGCGTTTCTTTTACAGACAGAATCAAGGAGTCACTGAACGAAATATACCTGATGGCTGATGTGTACGTATTCAAGCTGAATGCGCATATATAGGAATATACTGAACATATTTATTTTGTATGACTGAAAGGGTCCTGAAAAACTCACGGTATACGGACTTACCAATCCGTGTCGTTACGATAGCAGTACCGATCCGAGTATTTTGATTTGATACACAGTGATTTCGCGCATTATGATTGGYCGTGTACCGTATCCGTTAACTTTAACAGTTATCCGATATCTACTCTAACAGCATCTGTTAATAAAATCCCAGAATAGACCCTTTGCACTCATTATATATAGATACATCTCAAGCCTCGCAACGAAACAATGGTTCATTAAACACATCTTTTTTTTCCAAATAAGGCCGTGAAGTAGTTGCTCACATAAGACGAAATCTAGTTTACAATAAAGGTTTCTTAGTCCTGTAGACTTTTATGCAAACTAACTAACTTCAACCTGTGTACAAAACCTCTCCAGAAAAAAAAACTCTATTTTTTTTCAGAGTTTATATTTATTTTTCAATTTCTTGCAGGGTCGTGTCGGAGCTTCTACGTGAAATTCGTGATCACATTGGATGTCTGTATAAATTAGGAGAGCTTGTTAGTACCTTAGACATGCTAACATCTTTTTCCCACCTGTGTACGCTGTCGGACTACGGTAACTAAATTTGTTTGTGGTTTATTCCTGCAAGGGTGCTGTCCGAAAAAATGAAGGGATGGATTGAAGACAGGGTGGAAGGAAAAGAGGTATGGAGGAAGGCCGGAGAGAGTGAAAAGGAGAGCAAAATAAAGAAGGAAGGAAGGGAAGAAGAGAGGGAGAGAAACGAGGAAGGGAAGGGAGGAAGAGGGAGGGTACAAAGAAAGGAAGGAATGAAGAAAAGAATGAAGGAAGGAAAGGATGAAGGAAGGAACTGATGAAGGAAGGAACTGATGAAGGAATGAACACCAGGTAGGAAGGAGGGTAAGGTTGAGGGAAGATTGATACTAATATAGAGTTTTAGATTGACTTTTTTCTCCCCGCAAATGGCAAAAGTGACCAAGTTTTCATCGTTTTCCTGTATTTAACCTCTTGCACATTTTCTTACCAAAGACGAATATTGTTTTGTTTTTTTATACTACTTGAACTTTTTTGCGATTCTTTCGCAGCTATTTAAAACAATTTTTCACTGGTCAACTGACGTTTCGCGTTTGCTGTGAAGGTAAATCTAAAACTCTCTAATATAATATAATGCTATCTTTTTCTCTTTAACAGTTCGACCGGAATTTACGGATACATTAGCAATCAAACAAGGACGTCATCCTATTCTGGACAAGATTCTCCCTGAAGCTCCTGTTGCTAACAACATGGTACAGTAACTATTTATTCTACTTATTTGTTCCCAAAGTTTTACCACGCCAAATTACGGACGATCTCCCTTTAATATGATGTTTTTTTTAGGAAACATCTAGAAGGATTAATTGTATCAATACATAGGTCAAAGAATTTCGTTACAAAGAGTATGGATGTGGACTGTTCCAATGCAGTGCGCTTTGAATCCAACATTGGACATTACTCACGTTATTGCCATTACTCACAGTAATAAATGCATGCAAGTTTTGAGTGTCCGTTGTGGATTTTCTTTTTTTAGTACGCAGCAGATGGTACGAACTTTTTCATCTTAACTGGGCCCAATRTGGTAAGTATATTGAAGGGCGTAATCTAAGTAGCTATATTAACTGGACACTCCGGCACTATTCTCAGTGCCGGAAATAAACCATGAAATGAACATATTAGATACCTGTACCTGTTTGCGCACGGCGTGGTCAAAGGAGGGACCAGCGTCTGGACCACCTCGCATTGCGGGGCTCTATGATTTATCCTACTGTATTTCTTGCCAAAATATCCTGCGCATGCGTTTGATTGTATTATTCAATCATCGATTCAACTTGAAAAGATACGCCAATCTAGTGTTCCACATTGCCCTACCCAATAAGGAAAAGAGGCTCAAACTACACTAATTCTTAGGTTTCAAATTATATCTTGCCCTAACAGAGTGGGAAATCTACTTATCTAAAGCAAGTGGCACTCCTTCAAATCATGGCACAAATGGGTAGCTTTGTTCCTGCTCAATATGCTTCTTTCAGAATCGCTGATCAAATCTTCTCCAGGATTGGGAGTGATGACGACATTGAAACAAACTCGTCTACCTTCATGGTCGAAGTAAGTGCCTGGTTAAAATTCTTTAAACTTACAGAACGTTTTACTTTGGGCCTATATCCCATTTTTCTATTTCAGACCCCCTAGCCATTTCCTTGTCAACAATTTCCCCATATTTTTGGGTAATGCTTGAGAAGTAACACCAGTATTAAAGGTACTACAAAAACCTCACTCTCAGGAAGTTTGAAATGGAAACAAAAGAAACAAGAAAAGAAATGGTCTTTTTATGTAGTAATACCTTTTACTGATACGGCGGCCATCTTGAATGCTATTGTTTTAAATAAGAGATTATGGGATGCCGAGGGAGCGAATATTGGAAAATTTATAAGCAGAGCAGCTGTCAGGGTGTGTTTTTATATAACTTTACGTTACCAAATGTGAAACACATCTAAAAACCAATAGTCCCCTTCACAGTTCCCTGCGCCATCTTGAAAGGTAACCGTGCCTTTGCATCGAAGCGAGACAATCGGTGAGCTTGCAATGATAGAGACGTGTGAATAATTGTCCAAGGTGTTAAAAAAGGTCTCTATCATTGCAACTTCACCGTTCGTCTCGCTTCAACGCAAAGGCACGGCTTCCTTTCAAGATGGCAGGGAACATTTATAAAAGTAACTTCGCCACTTTATGCTTTATATATATTTCTGCGTTTGCTCTCTGGGCATCCCATAATTTAAGATGACTGCCGTCATCAGTAAACGGTCTATTAATACAATTCGCACGTTAATAATACAAATGATGCCTCCAGCATACAAGACTCTTGCATTCGTTTTCAAACAAAATCAAATCGTGTATAATTTATTATTTCATATCTCCCGAAAAAATTTTACTTGAACAACTTCTCTTATTGTCCCACCGTTCACAGATGAAAGAAGTGAACTACATCTTGCAGGTGTGTACACAAGAAATAAGAAATAAAACAAAGAAAAAGTCGTATAAAATAGAATACACTTGTTGCAGTTTACAGTCACGTGCTTTCATATCACCTCATCCCTCAAAAAACTCAAAAATCCCTCACCCCTCAAAAAAATCACATTTTTATTAGGAACTTTAGTTCAACAAAAATGTAATACCCTCGAAATATCCACTGAAGCTGAGGTGTAGTATGCACTTCACACCTGAGCTAAAGTAATTTATCTTTCCACAGAACGCTTCTGAAAAATCCCTGATAATAATCGATGAACTTGGAAGGGGTAATTATTTAAAAAAACATTCAAAGATTTTTAACGGAGCGAATGACCTAATACAGGCTTTGCACCATCAAGTGATGGCAGCCATGAAAGGGGGCAGGAACAATTGATTCTGGTCTAATCCGATTTATATTAGAAAGGATTCAGTTTCCCAGGAGAAAAAGACTCGATGGTTGTGCCTCCTGTCATGGCTGCCATGACGTGATGGTGCAAATCCTCTATTGGTAAAACCCCAAATAGTTGTAACCATTGACCTGATTGAATGAACTATTTTGATTTAGGTACAAGTAGCGAAGAAGGTGTTGGAATATGTTTTTCGATATGCGAGAACCTCTTGGAAACAAAGGTAAGAACCAGACCAAAGCAATATGACAGACAATATATTACTGGCTAACTCATCCATTTTACAAAATAGAATGAAGATAGATCCCATTTAATGAGAAACCCCTCAAGGAAGTAATGATTGGCTCTCTGTTTGCTATATCAAAAGGCGAAAAAATATTCGTTGTATGAAGTGTTGTTATATTGTACTACTTCAGGTTTAATCATTCCGCACAGCAATAGGTAAGATAAATAATAAGGTTTTTAAGGTCGTTAGGTTTTTCGGATGGAGGACAACAGGAGAACCCGGAGAAAAACCCTAATAAAGGTGACGCTAATCCTTTCATATTGTCTTAAAAATAAATTATCTTGGTCTCGCAAAAGTATACTCCCGAAATTACTCGGTTAAAACGAACATATATTTTCTCAATGACAATGACAATGACAATAATTTACTTAGTAGTAAAATAAAAAAACTTAAATTAGTACATGCTAACTGAAATAACCATGAGGCTGAACTGATCAATTAGATAATTATAGTAGATTGCAGTTTCGTTCACTACGTCTGTGAAAAGTGTAGCAAAAACGAGAAGGAAAAAGCAATAAATATTACAATAAGTAGATAAATAATAATATGGAAGAAAGTTACAATAAATAATGATAATGAATTCATAATGAAATGATAATATAGAGGAAAATTGTAAGAATTTTAGAAAATGGTTCAGTTGTTGAATGTTAATAAAGAAAGAAAAAAATACAACAAATAAGAAGAGAAAAATATTGAATTGAATTATAATTCAATTCAATAGGAAACTAAAGGCTACTAATATATGAATCTATTGATGATGATTTTTTTTCAATCAACCTCACTTCTCACTAAGAATATTCTATAAGTTAAATATATTTGTTTATTTTTTTCCGGTCCGTTATCCTAAAAAATCGTGCGTTGTGATTGGCTGTTTGATCGGGCGGTATTTTGTCAGTATCTGCCCGCGCTCGCGGTCCGGTAACCTTTGCCGCTAAACAACAAAACAAAACGATTACAAAAAAAGTAAAAAAAATACGGGAAAAAAAWAAAWAAGTTATTTACCGTCCTATAGTCGGTCCGGATAGGGAAAAACTGTGCCCGAGGTCTTGAAAATACGGACCGAGGCCGTTAGGCCGTTAGGACCTCCTGGCCGGTAAATAACATATATGTCTTAGGCCGTTAAAAAATACACTCACCATAATTTCGAAGAAAGACTATATCCAAATCCACATTTACGATACGAAGACTCTCGGCGTGACCTCGGGTCGGTTGCCGAAGGAAATCCGTTGAACTGGTGTACAGTGAGCTCCGGGTGCGGGTCAGGACAAGCGAGGTAGTATGTGAATACAGGCAAATTTCATGGCATTAAAATACGTGAAGACTAATCTCTAATGCGACTTTCTCGGTTCTATAGGGATGTGAGAGAGGGATTATGACTAAAATTTGACGCTGGAAAGGAAATTCGAAGGCGTACGAGGTTTCAAAGACTCGTGATGGTTCGCTGTTGGGATCCCGAGTCTCCAACCTTCTCTTATTTCTTACTGGTGGGAAAAAAAACTTAAAACGGGCTAAATTAAAAAAATAACCACACAGAGCGAAAGAAGTGCTATTTCTCAATGATCGGGTAAAATTTCGAGGCTTTATTTCACGTTTCAATGATTTTACTGAAATTTTTGATGATGGACCTAATCGGCTAACTTGTTGCTATAAACGTTTCCACCCAATTCAAACCACATGGGACTTAGTTTCATTGTTCGTTATATTTTGGTTTCACAGTTGAATTCGTAGAGACAAACGCTTCTATTCCCAGAAGGTTTGAATTGGGTGGTAACGGTCATAGCAACATGTTAGCCGATTAGGTATACACTCATTTCAATAAAGTTAGTCGCCTGAAAAGCTACAAAGCTGAGACCAACAAGGATTATGGGTAGAAACATTTTACATGTTTCGACCTCTTTAATAACTGTTGATGGATTTTAGATCTTTTACCAGTTACAGTCTCACCTCTTCTGAGCATCCTCAAGCTGCAAATTGTATAAAAAGCTTTACTTGCTTGATATTAAACGTTTTCGATGATCCTCAGTGATCTCAGCTTTCTAGGTTTTTTGGTGACTAACTTTATTGAAATGAGTGTATCCCCATACATTTCCTTATAACATGACACCACCGAAACCAAGCTTGGGCTACCTGTGGTGACACATCGAAAAAAAACTCGTGATAGGACTAGCCCTGTATAAGCATAATCATTTGTAAATACAGCGCTTTTTGGTCAAGCTTGGAACGGCTGGAGTTTTATCGATTATCTAAAAACAATGTACCTTGACTTCATAACATAATGTTGTCAAGGTCAGGTCTAAACGTTGTTAGGTACTCTGAATAAAGCTTGTTTGCGTAAGCCATTCATGTTCTGACTCAAACACTTTTACCAGGAATGGCTCTATAGACTATATATAGTGAGTAACTTATAAGATATAAACTTATTTGTAAATATAATTCTTAATGACCTAAATCAGCTTGTTTGCAGGAACCGGCCATTCCTGTTCGTAAGCACTATTACCAGGAATGACTTTGCAGACTACAAGTCTATTTATATATATGTAAGGATGAGGTTAAGTAGGAGTATGCGAATCCCTTGATCCGTTAAAACATAGTTAATATTAACTATGGTTAAAATTAAAGCCGCACATGATCCGTGGATCCGTAAAAACATAACTGTACTTCGAACCTGCAATTGGCAGTTGCCTGTTTGTGATTGTGTTTTAGCATTTTTTGTGCATTCTAGATCCAAGATTTGAACTCGAAATTGTAAATTTAAAATATTTTAAGGTCCGTGGAATTCCAAAGTGTTTGCTTTGTATATAAGTTAATTGTGCATTCTTGATATACATTACCGTTGGTATTTGTGAATATTTTTGACATCGAAATGAGGCTAACCCTGTGTCTCTATTTTTAAAAAAAGGCGGCCATGTTTGCATTTGGTCTTATACTAGACTCAGTGAAACTGAGACCAGATTCGTATCTATGTGACTGTGTGGTATGTTCAGTTGACGACACTGCTTCCTATCCAATACTGCGTTGTTGATTCATCAGCGTTGCAGCAACTAAAAGACCCTGGGTTTACCGCAGAAACAGGATAAAAGCCAAACAGTACTTGGTTGAATCCCGTATAAYCATACTCGCATCCTGCCAATGAGACACTATAATAGCCATTAACATGAAAATGTTCGTTGGCAACGTGCCATGTTCCTACGGTGCAGTTGAAGCACTCATGACCACTAAAGTTTATCCTTTCATATCTTGGGCATTTCGCTTCAAAAACCTTGAAAAGATCCAGCTCTTGAAGTTTCACGCGGAAATAATCCGTATATCTAAAGGCCGTAGGTCGGTTGCAGGTTGATCTTAAATGAGTGGAGTGGTTAGCGATGACTTGCATTCGTGTTTTAGACAACCGGTGCTTTTCCCATTTGAAAGACTCCTGCCCCATTGGAGCATCTGTATAAAAGCCTAGTCTTTTGAAGATGTCCCTATTCACAAACGAGAATGACTCGATCAGGGTAAATGCAAAACGTGGCTCCGAGCTGAAATCACAGTACACTTGATACAAATTTTCTTGAGAATCGTACACGAGATAGAGACCATCCGCTGGTGAAAAACCAAAGATTCTTGCGATATCAGAACAGCTACGTGGAAGTTCTTTACATCCATTTGTGTTTCCTGGAGGACATACACACATGAATCTTTTGAATTTTGGAAGGCACATGTCTCTGCATGTTGTGTGTGGCGGGCAAGTTGATGGAAGGCAACACGATTTGGGGCAAGTATGGCGAATTGGATCAAAAACAGCTTCGTCCTTCAAGAAAAAAAGATAGAAAAACGTTACTGTGATAATTACATGAAGAAACGCAATTTTCATGCACTTTCACATAACTTTCATAATTTTTCACATAATTTTCATACAAAAGAGCTTAATTAACGAACCCTGAAACAACCTCTTGGCTGATCTAAGTCAGGGCGCAACTATAACTTTAAAATTTAATAATCTTTATTCCAATTCTAATTCTAATTTCTTTATTTAGAGACCTAACAAACAAAAAATCACCTTTTCGCAAATAAACTTTCTTTCCAATTTATAGTAGTAGCTTGCAGGAGTTTCTACTAGTTGTAATGGGTTGAGGACGTGGTCTGCACTGTTAAGTTCACATCTTCCATATTCACCTTTGCTGCTTTCTATATAGTTGGTTGATAAACATCTACAGTCAGAGATGCATTTCATCTGGCATTCAGAAGCATCTTGAACGGCAACAGCCAGAAAAGAGTGACCTTTCAAAGCGCGATTCTTTAAAGTATCCTTAAAAAGGTCAAAATTGATTCGTTCGCAGAATCGTGTTTGGTTCGTACAACATCTTGCAAGGTTGGCTGTTAAAATGTATCCTATGAGGAGGATTTGCGTAAAGAAAACTGTGAGATCCATCAAATGATTAAAGGTTGAAGAAAAGTCAGTATAATTCAAGATTAAGTACAGCTATTGTGACACTAGTGAAAAACGTTTCTGTATTCCTGTAAAAAATGTTTTGCAATTTCAGGTAATCTAAAAATATATACATTTGGCAAGGCATTGTAGCTAAAAATCATTAAATATTGAAAAGTTTAGCAATATGCYGTGACAACGGAATAATCATGAATAGAAATTATCGGCCTTAAGGCATCAAAATTTGAAGAAAATCTGTGAGAGCGTTTTCGAGAAATTTCATATTGAGGTTTTGAAGTATGAAAAATTTTTAGAAACAAAACATGTTAGTAACTTTGTGGAAAAGTAATTTATTTCCTCAGTTTTGAGTTCCTAATTTTATGTAAAGAAGTTCATATTTGTTGAAAACAAATTCTGGAAATTAACTTACTAAACTATTCTCACTGATGATTAATTAGCACGGAGTATTTTAATTCAACTTCACACACATGTCTTGTTGGACTTATTGCGTAACGTCGTTCAAAACTTTGGGGAGCCGAATCCAATTCGGGGAGTCCAACAAGACTTGCGTGTGAAGTTAGTTTATGCTACTCCGTGCTAATTAATTTTCAGCGATAATGAGTAGTAAGTTAATCTCCAGCTGTTTTTTTTTTTTTCCTCTGGTTCCTAAAAGTATTCATTATACCGCCTCATTTATTTTCATTTCGGTAAAAATATGGTATATATAGAAAAACACTGATAAAATTCTTCATATGGATAACCAAACATCTTTATGTAAAAGAAGTAAAATTAAGGTTAAAGGACTTTCGTGGGCATTGTTCGCACGCATCCTTTCTACGCATGAATTTAGTGGGCGCGCGCTCATCGTGATGGCACCCCTTATATTTCGTTTTTTGAAAGTACTTTGTAATGTCTAGCTTTAGAGGAAAAAAAAAAAAAATCTGACATTGATTAAACTGAAATTACGTATTTTGTGCATAATTGGAAAGACATTTAGACATTTAGACATTTAGACATTTAGACATTTAGACATTTAGACATTTAGACT